TAGGGGACACGCCCGGGACACGCATGTCCAGATCTAAACACGGCATGAGACACGGCAAGGAGAGAGAGACAAAGGAAAGAGAGTGTGAAGGAAGAGAGTGAAGAGACAAACTTGTCGAGCGATCGAAGGCATCCAATTGATCGATCGAACATCCAGTTGCCGCATCGACATCCAGTTGTCGATGATCTCTATCCCTTCAACTTCACGACTTCCACCGTAAGCATCTCTCTCTCTCTCGGCTTCTCTCTCGCCCGTGTTGTCTTCTCCCTCTTCATCGCTCTCGCTCACGTCTCTCGCCTTCTCTCTCTGCTGCTCGCGTCTCTGTCTCTCTCTTGCTTGCCTTCTTTCTTATCTTATATATATATACATATGTATTAGTATATATAAGATAATATTATTTTATAAGTATATATAACATATTATATATTATTTATACATATTAATAAAAAAACACATGTATATAAAATAAAAATAAAAATTATCAAAAACACATTATTTAAAAAATATAATAAACAAATAAAATAATTAACGTATAATGTAAAATAAAATAAAAAAATTAATTGGAACACATTATTTAAAAAATATAATAAATAAAATAATTAACGTATATTAAAAAATATATATTTATATTAAAAAAAAAATCTGCCATGTCCCCTGCTGTGTCCGTGTCCTCATTTTTTGAAAATTGCCGTGTCCATGTCCGTATCCGTATCCATGTCCGTGTCCGTGCTTCATAGGTCATGGTAGGATAACTTAGATTCTATGAAGCAGGATACTTCTAGAAGGCAATATATGTATCGTACTCGTATCGGATACTAATACTTCTCGGATACTAGCAAATACGTAGCCAATACTTTATATTAATTTTGAAAAGTTTTGGATACTCCAAGTCACGTTTCCGAACTATTATGAAATTAAGATTGTAATAATTTTCGCATGGTATTAGAATATAATTGTTATGGGAAAAAAAAAAAAAAAGAAGTGAGATTAAATTAGTACCCTACTTTTTTCAAAATTAATCAAAGTAATAACCTACTCTTAATATGTCATACATGTGTCCATATTTGTATTCATACTTTGCAGAAAATAAGGATAAATAAATAATAATAATAATAATAATAATGCTAACATCGGATTTCTTTCTCTACACTTTAAATTAAAAAAATATATATATATCATTTTATAGGACTCATGGCATGTATGTACACAGTCAATGTAAAGTCTAATTGAAATACATAGCAAGGGACAGTGGGCCACTGCCAGTGGGTTTTATGAGTTAGTAGAGGCAGTTAGATCCAACATGGAAGCCATGGCTGGTGCATTAAATTTTGAGAACAGAGCAAAGAAATTGCTCACATGTGTACGGGGTTGGTTCAGCTTGGGTTCACCCCCAAACCATCCACCGAACCGACACTATCGGGTTTCAAACTCATTCATCCAATTTCAACCGACCTATTCTTCGAAATCGACCTGATTTCGTCAATTTCGAATCGTCACAAGAAAAAATGGGGAATAAAAGATTGAAAGTTTAAGAAAACATATCTCAAACTCATAATCATACAATACATGTTGAGTTTAACAAAATCAAATCACAAATCTGTGAGAGAAAATAGAGTGAAGGGAAAAAATAGAGAAAGCATGAACAAAATCAACTCATCGCCACCACTGCTGCTGATCGCCATTGCCACCGTTGATCGCCACCGCTACTGCCTATGAAACACGGACACTTCTCTAGAGGCAACATACAGGTGTCCGACACATGTCGGACACGAACACGCGGCTAACATGCAATGGACAAGTGTCTGACACTCGAACGTGTCCAGAATTTTTTTTGATTTTTTTCCAGTCGGACGCTTTGCGGACACGCTCAGACACTTGAAGGACACAGCGGAGAGAGAGAGAGAGAGAGAGAGAGAGATGGAGGGAGAAGAAGGCTCTCACCTATAAACCCTAGGCAGAGCAGGCGAAGCTTTTGAAGGTCCCTATTCGCAAGTAGGTCTCTCTATCTCTCTCCTCTTCTCTGTCTCATCATCTTCGTTCTTCTCCCTCTATTTCGTTGTCTTCTTTACTTTTTTTTTCCTTTAGACTGTTTTTTACTCTCTCTCTCTCTCTCTCTCTCTCCATCATTTCTTTCTCTCTCTTTTTTCTTCTCTCTTTTTTCTCTTCAATTATCTATTTTTTGAATTTTATTCTTCCCCCTTTTATGAGGTCATCTACTGGATAAGAACAAAAAATTTGGCAAGCCCTCTATTTTTTAATATTCATCTTTGGCTATAACATGCATAGAGCAAATTAATTTTATTTGAAGAAAAAATAAATTTCTTGAAATTGCTCAATTTATTTATTAGGTAAAGTGTTGAAATTGATGAATAGTTGTATATATATTTTAAAATATTTGTTAATATTATTTTACATTTTTTATTACTTATCCATTTTTTTAAAAAAAAATTTATGACATAATAAATAAATAAAATTATATATTTTGAGCGTGTCCCCAGTGTGTTGTGTCCCTTATTTTTTAAAATTTTGCGGGTCCGCGAGTCCGTGTCATGCCCGTGCTTCTTAGGCTATTGCTCATCACCGCCACCACTGCCCATCATTACCGCCACCATGGATCGAGATTAGTCTCCATGATTATCCACCACCATTGAAGAGCAAGATCAAACACATTATTTGATCTCTGAGAGGAGATGTAGTGTTTAAGAGACGAGAGAGAATGAAAGGAGAGAGGCGTAGATGAGAGAGAAAGTGGAGTGTACAGATAATAGGTAGAGAGAGAATGAGTAAGAGAGTAGAGAGAGAGACAAAAAAATAGAGCGGGTGGGAGAAATCATTAAAGATGGTTCTAGAGAATTGTGAGACCATCTGTCTCTCATTGATATATCAGACTAATTAAATAATTGAAAGCGTCAGTGTAATTGGAAACATAAGTCTAGTCTCTCAAACAAAATAATAAAGCCAAACAAACGGAACTATAATATCTTAATGTAAGAGTATGCGGTCGGGGTTGGTTTCAACAAGCCTAACAAATTTAGAACCGTTTTTCGAACCAAGAACTGAAAGTCTCAAAATTTTCAAACCATAGGCGACCATAGGCTTATTTGAAATCGTCCGTATCTGCGTCGGTTGGGCAGGTTAGGCAAGTGGGTCAGGTTAGGTGAATCCATGTACACCCCTACTCCATAGTACAAAAGCACAAGAAGCATAAATAGGAATTAATTTTCAAAAGTGTTTGATTAGGATTAATTATTAGCGATCGTGTTATTTTTGCCGAATACTTGTTCCAAATTACTTAGAGCTCGTTTGGCAATTGGCTATTTTAATTGGTTTATTCGCTTTTTACAAAAAGTTATGCAAAAAAATAAAGAGTGTTATGATTGGGTGTTTTGACTTTTTGGCTATTTTAGCCAAAAAGCCACATGCCAAACATCAATCCACTAACCAAGCAGCAACCTACATCCCCTAACCTCAAGACCTAAAACAATGCTTGAAATTATAAAACAACAAATCTTATTCATTCTTGTTCACGACACAACAATTAAGTGATACCACTTCCAAAGATTATGTGATTATTTACAACGGGTTAGTCCATAATCCATAGAACAAGCATACAAAATAACTTCAAATGGCACAATAAACCACTAACTTCCTAGAAATAAGTAATATAGTGTCTTTCAAAACCAGACCACCTAAATAACCAAAACATTAAGTAAAAGAAAAACTTCTTCTAAATCTAATAGTTGACCAACTCACTGAATAGAGTAATAAGCCCACTACACTTTGCCCCGACATAGTCAAATGGTTTCTCCACTTCTTTTGGGGGGAGGGGGGAATGTTCATCCGCAAAGATAAAACACTCACCTCAATTGTTGCCATGGCTACTAATTTAAAAAAAAAAAAAAATCTATAGTACATGTTGGGTACACAATGTTACTTCTTGCAATTGCTCTAAGAACAACCATGAGGATGCAATGCCAAATGTCATAAAAGACATGTAAAGTCCTCCCTAACCTCATATGATTCTATGCAAGATGGTGGAACACGGTCTGACCAGTCGTATCAGTCTAATAGAGTAGACAATAGATTATGTTCAAACCTCACCGCCTACACAATAATTAGAATAGTTACACGTTTGACCCCCTTACAAAGAAGAGTCTAGTCGTGTGAGGGGGAGTGTTGAAGATACAAATAATAAAGTTTGCCCCCTCTCTCTAACAGCTTAATCTCTTTGAAGAATTAGTGGTTAACAATTCAATAGTTTCACCTTCTCCTCCCATATCTCAATGCAAACTAAAAATGCCATGAGTGAGGAAGTATTTAAGATCCGAAAGGAGCCAATGTTGCACTTTCCTACAAGCTTGAGGCTAAGCTTTTAAGTTGCCATTCCAAACAAGTGTAAACACTTCATAGTGTATATAGATATCAGTTCTGCTAGGATACAACATTTTCTACCTCACTCTCATTGTCAGTAGGCGGCAACAAATTGTGTCTCCATAATGTTATTCATATAGATCAGTCCTGCTACAAACACACCATTTTCTACTGCATTTTCTAAAAATGCAAATAAACATACAACACTATCTAATTTGGGAAAACTATAATAGGGGCTTGATAAAATTTCCTTACCCTCTCAGGTAAACAATTGGATTCACATGCTCCATTAACGCTATTACCATCAACAACATTTACAGCACAATCAGACTAGTCACTAGTTGGCACGCCACATTTGGTGTACTGCACTTTTCACAGAAGATGCATAAATTAGAAATCAATGATACCAAATGAACCAACCAATTCATATGAAAAACCCAGTGACCAGACAAAGAACACCACAACCCACAAAATCCAAGTTTTTTTTTTTGTTTGTTTGAAATGATTAGCATCGAATTGATAATAAACAGAACCCAGATGAAAGAAGATCGGAATGGAACAATCAACATCAAACCCACATAAATTGAAGTGAAAAAACAAACAAAAACACATGGGTTTCCATGACTGACCTCTTTGGTGGAGAGCTCAGAAGAGTAGGGAAGGACAAAATTGACAGAAAGCTTGGAAGGGATTGAAGATGGGGTGAAAGGGCGAGGAGTCATGAAGGCCATAGCGGTCTTGGGTGGTTCGATATTGGGGATCACTTTCTTCCACGACTCCACGAAAGTCTCGTCGCCGGTCGTAGCGGCCGGGAGGTGCGTGGAGAAGGGCCGAGCTCTGGTGGCGGCGGCGGCGGCGGGGAAAGCCATTGTGGATCGCGAGAGAATGCGGGTGGTGATTTGGCGGAACATGGTGGTTGGTGGTGGGGTTGGATCGCTCGGCTCGCAAGGTCGGAGAGATGGTGGCAATAGGGGATGGGTGGGAGAGGGTCTCTGAGTTTAGCTTCTGGTGGGGTTTCTCTCTCTCTCTCTCAAGTGCATATCAGTGTAACAGTGGATATATCATCCGTCAAAATCGATCTAATCGAATTGATTCGTCATATTTTGGATCGGAGCGGGACGTCGAAACAACGGTTGTAAATTGATTTTTTTTAATTTGTCAATTTGACAGGCGGATGACGGTTTTGAGGTTCTTTTTACCGCAACTAAACTGCCAAACTGCGAGAATCCTTAATAATTTATAAGACTTTGTATTTTTAATTTATTTAAATATTTTGTTTATGTGTTCAATTGAAAAAAAATTCAAATATTCTGTTGAAAAAAAGTTTTTAACTTGAATATATTTTTTGAATTGAAAAAAATAAACGCATTATTTATCTATATTTTTTAGTTTTTGAATCTAACTCTAAAAGTAATAAATAGAAAATATGATATATACTGGTTAGTTTTTGTTTTCAAAAACATATATAAATATAATAATACAGAGACATACAATCTCTGTTATTACTCTGTTCATAGTTTTGGTGGTTTGAATTATTTTTATATTTTAAGAACCACATATTGTAATATTTTTATATGGATGAGGCATATTGTGATTGTAATATGTGGATGAGGCATGCAATGATTATGATATTCTAAAGTTTCAAACTTTCTTTCCTTGGATGAGGCATGCAGTAATTGTAATACTTTTTTAAGTCATTAACTGTAATACTTTCTTTTCTTTTTTCTTTTTTTTTTTGAGGAAGTGCACAAGTTGAACTATATTGAAAATTTATAAAATTCCAAACCGCCAAACCGATTCGCATCCATCCGCTAAATCGTCAATTCGTTCAATCCACATCCGCCGGATTGGCGAACGGATGTGGATTGATTTTCTCCAATCCGCCAATCTGGCAGACGGATGGCGGATTGAAGGTTCCGTGGCCGCAACCGACCCGCGCCCCACCCCTAGTGTAAAAATGGCTTGCTGATCCGAGCCAGCCCGATATGAAAAAATCTTTTCAAGATCTGCCGGACTAAATTGGCCGGCCCGGCCCGACCGTTAGCGATTTTGCCCAATAAAGGTGACTCGTATCAGATTTACCCATAGCCCGTTAGCTGAACCGGTATCATTGATTTAGGATATCACTCAACCATTGTCAACCAATTTACAGTTCAAAGTCAATTGATTCAAATTATTCAGTTTTGCGGTCGGTTCGGTCGATTTCAAAAATTTGTAAAAGACGTAGAGTGAAGAAGAAAAAAATGGAGAAAACGAGATTTTTAAAGTTCAAAACAACAAATGATACTTATACATACATACATACAGAACATAGATATGTAAAAGAAAAAGGTGGAGAAAAGAAATGGAGAGAAATAGGAAGAGAGAGAATACTCGTCATGCCACCACAATCATCAATCAATGTTGTCGTCGTCTCGACGTTGCCATCAACATCTTTCACTACTTACAGAAAGAAGAGAAAAAATCATTTCCTATGTCTTTTACAAATTTTTGTATCATTCACTTCCTATCATTCAGCATAGATGGAAAAAGGAAATGAAATATCAAAGAGCGGAGGGAAGAGAAAAAAGAGAATGAGAAATTGATTTTTGTATTCGTTTTTTTTTTATTATTGGTAAAAGAAAAATCACTTCCTTTGATACAAGGAAAAACGAGACAGAGAGTAATGATGAAAGAGACAATCTGTATTCTAGGATTTAACTTTTACTCTTGGAAGTTGGAATATGATAGAGAAAGCTGAAAAGGTTTTGAAAAACAACAATGATTCATCCCACTAAAAACATCACCACTAATAGCACTAATGCATTAAAAAAGTAAAAAAAAAAAAAAAAAAAAAAATAAATACAACTCCAAGACCAAAACATCACATCATTAATGACGGGACCCACTGCCACCTAATTAGTGGGAGCACTAATTAGTGCTCCCAAGCATTTTTCTTTGGAAAATTGGTGTTAGTGGTCTATAGGTTGTCTTAGTGAGAGATAAAGCATTAAAGGGTAATTCAAATCCAAAACTATTCACTACTTTGGAGGTTTTAATGAAATAAATAATATTTTATTCGATCAGGTCGAATTTATCGAGTGTAAATGCGGTGTACTTGCTTTCAACCGTGAATTTGCAAAATCAGAGATACGAAAACCATAGCCGACCGTCTAGACATTCAAAACCGTCTATTTCTTCTCGAATCGGTCTAGATCGAACAGTTTGGATGGATACATGGTTCTCATGCACAGCCCTAATAGGTATAATAAATTTTTTATAAGAATTTTTGTAGAAAGAAAAAAAAATAAAATAAAAGAGAGGTGAAAGATTAGGAGAAGTATACATACAAAGCTCAACAACTTTTCACTATATAAAGAATATATATACATATTAGTTAATCAAGTCATATTATATACAAACTCAGTCACAATATAATCAGGTGTTCGGGGTAGTTACGTGCATGTCGACTAATCCCCCATTTAAAGTCAAAGCAAATGACCAGTATGGATTGGTTCCAAAAAGCTTATTGTAGCTAAGAGTGTGCGTGGTGCGATTCAGGTGATTTGAGAGTAAAATTATAAACCAAACAAAAGATTGGTGGATTGGCCGATTGATAAATAATCAAATCAAGATTTGGGCAATTTGAGGTGAATTGGTGGATTAAAGAATATTTTTAACTAATTATCAAACATTTTCCTTTGCCAATAATACTAGAGACTCACAATTTAGATCCCTAAATTTACCCACTATTACAAGAGAGGTAGGCCCTACACAATTGAGTATATGATCAATAAAAAATTGACATGTACCACATTATTGTGGATCAAATTGTATGGGAGTTTTTGTGGGTCTTAAACATTTTCTTTTGCATAACATATAACACTAATTTGCATAATATTTTTCATATATAACACAAACTAATTTTACATAATATTTTTTACATATATAACTACTAATTTGTAACAAATTTCACATCTTAAATCTCTTTCACACTCATTTTTACTTTGATATTTCATTACAAATTAATATATATATATCTCTAAAGAGCTTATTGAAACTAGTGAGTATTAAACCTTAGACCTGGACAGAGCACACTCTTAGACTCCAAGTTGTGCTCGCTAGGCCAACTCCTTGAAGTAAAATATAATATGCAATTTTTAAAAATAAATAATATGTATTAATATTATATTAAAAAATTATATGCAATACATGAAATAGTGTGTGTCATTTAATATACATGAGGTGCATCATAAATGTGAAAATTTTCAATTTAATTCACATAAAAACTTAATAATTGATTGATATATAATTAAGTTTTTTAGCACGTATTCCAAGTTCCAACAAGTTTCTTGTTCAAAGATGGTCTTATATGTAAAATTGTGATTTTTTTTTCTTTTCATATCACATACCACTCTTGTGATCTTTTTTATGTTATGTGATCTTTCTTCTTATGGTACATACAACTATTGTGATCTTATATATATGAGTTTTGTCATACCAATCTTGTGATCTTTTTTGTGTTACATGATCTTTCTTCTTATGGTATACATAACTACTGTGATCTTGTACATACGAGTTTTGTCATAACAATCTTGTGATCATTTTTATGTTATGCGATCCTTCTTTTTGTGGTACATACAACTATTGCGATCTTATACAAATGAGTTTTGTTGTACCACTCTTGTGATATTTTTTATGTTACGTAATCTTTCTTCTTGTGGTGCACATAACTACTGTGATCTTATACATATGAGTTTTGTCATGCCAATCTTGTAATCATTTTTATGTTATGCGATCCTTCTTCTTGTGGTGCATATAACTATTGTGAGCTTATACAAATGAGTTTTGTCATGAGGTTTTTAATATTACGTGATCCTTCTTCTTATGGTACATACAACTGTATTGAGATCTTATACAAATGAATTCTTTTCATACCATTGTAATCTTTTTATGTTATGTGATCTTTCTTCTTATGGTACATACAACTATTGAGGCTCTTCTTTCCCAAATTTCATTAAAACATTGTTCTTCTGTAATAACTATTTTAGAGTTTTGGGCTTGTGCAATGATGTCGGTTTAGATTATTTAGCCACATAATGCCCTACATGTTTTGGTTGAGACTTATCTAGTTTTTTTTACTAGTCTTTCAATACTTTTAGAACCCAATTAGAGTTGTGAGGAAGTGGTTATGAAATAATCCTTCAGCCCAAACACGCCCTTGTAGGATCTTTCTAGCAGTCATCTGAAACAAAAATAATGTAATGCCCCCAAAATATAACCGTAGATTCAACCGAATTATAAATAGATAATTAAATAAATCAGAGTGTAACGTTCTTACATTTCATAGAGTTAATAGTACCACACACACACATATATATATATATATATAGCAAGATTGATGGCATACCAAGGTACAAGATATAAGTACTATTTTGGGCAAGTTTTGAAATAATAAAAAAAAATATATGAGGGCTTGAAGTTAACTACATGTAACCTAGGTAGAATTAAATTAGGTTAGAGAATTTCTGTTTTGATAAAATAAAAATAAAAGAAATAGAAATTTGCTAATCGACAAGATTCGAATTAATTCAAGTAACGAGGGCTTTAAGAAAATAATTCATCATTAAGGTCTTAAAGTAAATACATATTTTAGGGGCCTTACACACAGCCCAGTAGAAATAATCTAACACAGTATATGAGATTTAACAAGGATATAAGTGCATGTGCATGTACATGTACAATGCACAGGATAAAACATTCACACTCTTATATTGCCATAGAATACCAATTCCATATTCCATTTCATTTTCCTCTAAAGTCTTTTCAATATATGAGTCACTTTCATTTATTTATTTAATAACCCAAATGAGACTACACTCAATGGTTCTACAATCACATCAACAACATGCAAACACTTTGAACTGCCATTTTACATGTGAAGCCCCTGAAAAATATATTCTCTCTAAAGACCCTAATGTTTGAATTATTTTCTTAAAGCCCCTCAGTTCCTTGAATTATTTCGAATCTTGTCGGTTAGCATTTTTTTTTTTCATCAAAACAGGAATATCCTAG